ATATACTTTCAGAAAGAAGTGTCCCGACTGCGTAGTTTAGTCAATGGGGGAGCTGAAAATCTAGATAGTGATACTTCATCCTTAAGCTTTCTCGGATCTCCTGGAAGTTTTAAGTGGGAAGGGTTTCATGGATCATCTAGTCTGCTTATGTCTGAAAATATGTCTCAGGTACCCGTCGCTTGTTCTTAACCTTGACTATTTAACACTGAATTGTTGAATGATTCTCAGCTAAAATTCTTTTTGTGCTGTACTTTTATAGAAGAAAGATTATGAAGTTGCCCTTGTCGGGGCTTTTAGAAGAGAAAAGGACAAGGACATAGCCTTGAAGGCATTGGCAGCTGAAAATCAAGCAGTTATGCAACTGGTATGTGCGAAACATATTGCTTGGATTTAATTAATGATCTGAATTTTTTTCTGATTTTTTTTTTGGAATGCACTAGACCAAACAGAGAGAGGATGAGATAAAAAGCTTAAAAATGATACTACGATTCCGAGAGGCAGGAGTTAAGAGGCTGGAGGCAGTTTCTGCTGGAAAGATTTCAGCTGAAACACACTTGTTGAAAGAAAAGGAGGAGCATCTGAAGCAAATTGAAGTTTTACGAACCCAAGTTGATCGCAACCAAGAAGTCACAAGATTTGCCACAGAAAATTTGCGTCTAAAGGAAGAAATTAGAAGGCATGTATTTTTCAGCCTCTGTAACTTTCTTTCTCAGTAAAGTGCAACTTATATTGGTCTCGATACATATACATTGGTTGTTAATTCAATGAAATTCGAGCTGGATGTAGATTTATGTCAAAATTAGGCTAAAAAAAAGTTAATAATATTAGCAACTAAAACCAAGGTCAAACATCTCTTCTAGCAATAAACAGTAATTTCCAACTAACTGAACCTGATAAAACAGGAATGCACCTGATTGGGCCATGAATATTCTTTTTATAGCTTTTTATTTGCGTAGAACAGATTTCAAGTAATATTTTTATGTCCAAGATGTATTCTGAAATCATTTCCCGATAAATGGGGATACTTATTTTGGCTATACTTCACAGATTAAAGTCATTTTGTGAGGAAGGTGAAAGGGTGATGATGAATGAACAAATCATGCTCTTACAGAATAAGGTAGAGGAAACAATGTCTAAACATGTTTTAAGCTGTTTTCGGTCAAATTATCCTTTCTAAAACATCTTCTGATTGTACATGCAGTTACTAGAAGCACTGGATTGGAAACTTATGCATGAACCAGATTCCTTGGCAGTTCAGGTTCTTCAAAAGCTTTACTGTGAACTTTGAAAATGCATGGCTACATTTAGAATTTTTTTTTCTCATTAACTGTGAGTTTTTTAATTTTGACTACAGAAAACTAGCTTAGACATGGAGACAGCAGCAGTACATGATGATCCACCAATTTTGAGTCAGGTACAATTCAAGCAGATGTATCTTCCAAAGCATTTTTCACAACAGTGCAACCATTTTGGCATATATATTTAACTCTTAGCGTATCAGTTTTGATTACATTTATTGAGATGGGATGTAAAATAAGCTAATGGGTTGTACTCTTTCATGAAAGTCTGGTGATGATGGTCTTCTTCATTGTTGCAAGAGTTCTTTGTTTGGTTTTCACCTCAAGAACTTTTTAAAATAGTATGCTTTCATTTGTTGCATTTCTATTGTAGAGATAATTATATTTCAAGCTGCAAATTCAGGTTAACTGCTTGCATAATTAGTAGTTTGACTGCTTGATACTTAAATTTGATTTCACAACAAGAGGGGCATGTGCACAGGCGTTAGGCATATGGAAGTTCCTAGATGGTATTTCTCTCCTGCAGCCATCCTGTAGCACAAAATGAATGGCGTTGTAATATGATATTCAGAGAATATTGTATTCACCACAGTAGATTTCAGAATTTTGCATTTTTCATCCATCCCTGGAATGTTACAACGATAGTTTTGTTGAGGAATTCTTGCTTGGATCCACCATCATCTTTACCAAAAAAACAAAGAGAAAGAAAAGCAGAAATTCTGCCTCCTGATTTTAGAATGATTCAGTTTGAAATTACAATTTTGTTTCTAGATAATCATATTATAATGGCAAGTGCTTGGTGTATGTTTGTGAATTATCTTACGAACTATGTATGCTTTGGTGTTTGTATTACTCGTGCATGGTTTGGCACCAAAGACTATATGGATATAAATAACTATTGTTGACACAGGAACCAAGATCACCTTGTCAATCTTCAATTAATGAGGAGAACGAATTCCTTCGCATACAGGTCTGCCACTCTGCTTCTTTGTTCACAAACTTTTATGCGGCTTTCATTTGATACAAGGTACACGTGACAGATTTTTTATTTATGTATTATAGGTTATTCAAAACCAGGCCGAAATTGACTTGCTCCATAAGAAGTTGGATTTCTGTTTTGAAGAGAAGGAAAGACTAGAAAGGTAATGATTGACTCTTAATTCTTTCACTTGATAAAATTTTCAAACTGTCAATTGATTTATTCTTAAATGAAGTTTGGTTACTTTACCTCACCTCTAGCATGATTACACAGCTGATGATGAATGTTCGTTTATGTAGACTCAAATACCTAATAAGCAGTGCGTGTATGTGCGAATGTACTGTACTATTTTGAAATGCTGTCTGCCTGACCAGATTATTTTGTAGGCATGTCAATGATCTCATGATGAAACTTGAAGAAGAGAGATTTTTTAGAGCCACAAACGAGAAAACAGAGCAACTTGAGCTTCCTTTGTCAACTGATGCATCAGTTGTCAATGTGGAGCTCAAAACAATGGTTGATGCCATTGCCGCAGCAAGTCAACAAGAAGCTGAAGCTCATGAAAAAGCTATTACATTGTCTACGGAGAATAATGAGCTGCAGTTGAAGCTTGAAACATTTATTGAGGCAAACAAGGAGCTACAGTCAAAACTAAAAGCTTTGATCGAGGAAAAAAATTGTCTCATTGAAATGTATGAACGGGCAGCTTCAAAAAGTAACTACAAGAACGTGAATGATGATGAGAGTGAACAAAATGGCGTGGAAGTTCATGATAATGATAGTCCTCCTGAACTTGCCAATGCAAGGGAGAGGGAGGTGAAAACAGTTGAGAACTTGGAGCAGCAGCTTATGGAAACGCATGAAGAAAATGAAAAACTGATGAGTTTGTATGAGATAGCTATGCATGAGAGGGATGAACTGAGAAGATTGCTTTCTTCTGATGAACAGAACAGAGCTGGAGAGAAACTAATGGAAGTTGACGGAGAGAAATGTCTTCCGTCTCCTGCATCTCCATTGAATGCGGTGCAAGCTTTCATTGAGCTTGATAAAGTTCTGAGAGAAATTGAAGTAACTGAAGAAGGGCTTCAGATAAAACAGGAAGAGTTTCGATCCCTTGAGCTACTTTCCTCTGAAATGCAAGAGAAAAGAGCTCTTGTAGATAAGAAGTTATCAGCACTGAGATATTCCGTGTCAAGTTTTGCTTCATCAATTGCTTACTTTGAACAGCGAGAACACAGAGCAAAGGCAAGGGTAAATGCTTCAACGTCTTATCTTGAGAAAAAGAAAGAAGAGTTGGCTCGCCTTCAAGTTTGCAAGGAAGAATCTGAGGCCACCATGGGAAGGATTCAACAATCAGAAATTGAATTGAAGAACGAACTGTCTGTTTTGAAATCCAAACTGCTGGAGGAGAATCAGAGACAGGAGAGTGAAAAGGTCCTTTTTTCCATAGATAACATTGAGAATGTTGATACCTCACAGAGAAATTGGCAATTAGGCGGTAAAGCTACAGAATTATTGAAGTCCGAGGAAGAGAAGACCAAGATACAGAATGAAATGAAGCTGTCCCGCGAAAATCTTCGTCTTATAAAGAAAGAAATTGATATTTTGAGTAAAAAGTTGGGTAAGATAGAGGGTGAAATGCAAGTTGTACGGACGGATATACAGAAGGGATCCAAATCTGTTGAGGAAATGGAACTTGCACTTCAGGCTGTAACCCACGAGAAGGAAACTCTCTTAGAAATCAGAGAAGCTGGAATGCATGAAATTCAGAGCACGATTCTTGAATACCAGCAAAGCGTCTTTGATGCAGATCTGAAGGAGGCAGAGAAGAAGATGCTGGAAGAAGAATTACAGTTAGAGCTGAGAAGAAATGAAGAGTTGAAAATACAGCGGGCAGATGCTTCCGAGAAGATGACCAAGCTGTTGGAAAACACAAGCTCCCGTCCATGCTTTGCTAGAAAAATGGAAGAGTAGCCGCAGATGTGCTCAGGTTTCTGCATAATAATAGTAAATACATTTGCACAGGAGCACGTCGTGTGGTCTGATGCATTCTTTCTATGTATTTTTCACAAATAAAGCATTGCATAAATTAATAATTCAATAAATAATGTGAGATTAATTTTATAAATAATAGAATATAAACTATAATAAATGGAGTTTTAACGCGAACAGTTGCATGTTCTTATTCTTCGACTCCTTTCAGCTTTCAAGTGGCAAAGGTTAAAGAGGGGCAATGCTCATGTCTAACAATAAAAAGAAGCAAAGCCACCAACAACAGTTACAAGTCTTGAGTATTAATCTAAAAAAAAATCAGAAAACGAGATGAAAATCAAATTACTATCTGAATAGATAACATTACTATAGGCCTGACACGTTTTAGGGATTTGCTAGGATACAAACACAGTTCACACCAATCATCAATGAGTTCAAGTCCCGAGATTATTCTGTGATCATTAAGAGCTTTGAATCCCCACTCGGTCCCATTTTGCTCGTATATATTACAAGAAAGTATCATTCCCTAGTTGACCTCAGGACGAATCATCAGCATTAACAAAAATTTCCCCAGTTTCCTAACTATAATCTCACCTAGTTCTGCAGTTTGGTTACACGAATATCGCCTGAATGAAGAGAACATTCAAGACAGCATGCAAAAACCCTAGCCCCATTAAGATCCTATTGGTTAACTAAGAGGCATGTCAATTGTTGCCACAAAACACGGGGGAAGAAAGGAATTAATCAATATACACAATCTCTATCCTCAAGCGTGTTCTTCCTACAGCTCAAAGCAGGTAATTCTACACGAAACTGGTTATAGAACTATGCTTTGGACTACCCTAAAATGGAGAAATGATTACAATAATGTGTACACGAGGAAATATCCAATGCACCATAAGAACTAAGGGAAGTTTTCCCTATTACCAGCAACTATACTAGACCATTGTTATGATACAAAGTTCCATTTTCAGCAAATCTCAACCTGGCATGCAAATGCTCTTGTCTGGTGAATTCACCATCTTCACATTTTCAGTCAGTTCAAAACCTACTCTGCATAAAAATGAGAACAAAACGTAAGAAACACCTTAATGGTAATGATGAAAAATAACAAAAGTGATTATCACCGCTATACTTATATCACATAATTGATGCTACAAAATGGCATGGTAATGCTCTGGAGATGAAAGAGCATGCACACTGTTGAGGGTGAGAGGCTACTTTGCTTGGGTACCTCCACAAGAAATCATCCATGGTTATTATTCATGCACAATACCTTTTAGATTATGCCAAAGGAGAACTTCCTTTTTTTCTTTCAAAGAGGAATGATTTAAATCAGCTTGAGCAAGTGGAATGATTCAATATAAATCTGTTACTTGTTTATTTTGGAGGAGTCTCTGGAGTTAGGTGGGTACACATTCACAAATTAGTTTTCATACGTCACATCAAAAGAAGGATAGAAATCATATTCTGATAAAGTATCTACCTCAAAACAATGGACAACTTCAAGTCAAAACCCCTTCCAAACTGTCAACAACAACCACTTCAAACAAAAATGAACTATAGTACGCAACTGTTTCAGCCCGCTACCTTGATCACACCAATTTCATCAATCTTTGAGCTCTTATGCTGCAAGAAAACAAAATACAAAACAGAGAGCTTATTTAAAGAGAACGGGGGACTAAGAAACGAAGAGCCGCAAAGTAATTCATAACAAAAATGAGAGAGATGAGACTGGACATACTGCAATATCACCATTGCTTCAAACAAATATACATTACCTTACTTTTTTTGTGCTTGTGCACATCATTGAGATCTTCATCTCCATCATGCTTCCTTTTCTGAAATCATACAACAACAAAGTCCATATTGGCAATGACATTGAGCATAAAACATTTAATGTCAAAATCACCAATCACTGCAGTTCATTCCTAGCCATCAGCAAATTTACTAGTTTTTAATTGTCAACGGTGAATAAGACATTTGTTTGAATAGAGATTTGAGTTATTGTGCACATAGGAAGTTTAACTGTTTACTATAGATGTCAAACACCATACAAAAGTAACTTATTCTATAAATTTAACTACAATTTTATAGGCCACGTCATGTTCAAGCAGTAGCTGCAAGCAAGTAGTAAGTTCTAACCTTATCGTGGTGTTTTTTGGAATGGTCAGCACCAGAATCATGATGTCCACTTCTATCCTTCTTCTTCTCCTTGTCCTTGTCTTTACTTCGATCTTTATCTTTATGACGGTGTTTACGTTTCTTGTGCTCCTTCTCCTTCTCCTTATCTCTATCTTTGTGTTTTTTATGCTTCCTATCCTTGTCCTTAGACTCAACTTTTGATTTCCCGGCTATGGTAGGAGTCCCCTTCTCTGCCTAAAGAAGAAGGGAAAAATAAATAAAAATACATTGGGACACCAAACAAAATAGTACTAAATGTCAAAATACATTGGTGTTATAAGCCAATTCCAATTTTGCAACACTAAACTAAAGTGACTGATAAACCCACAAAATTCAAGGCAAGATAGATTTCTTACAGAAGGCAAATCTATAGGAGTAGTTTCCTTCAGTTGGAAGGCCTCCCTAAGTACATCTAGGTCAAAGGGCTCTATATGTGCATTACTATCTCTGGAGGTATTCTGGATAAGCTGATCCAGTTGCATCCCTTCTCCTTTTCTTATTTCAGTGTCTCCCACCACATTGTGAAGATAATGTGTGTCTGCAATTGACAAAGGAAGTGACCTCTTGCAGAAAAATTCATGGTGGGGCAACAATTTGAAGTGACTTATAAGATCAACAGCACCAGTCAGCTCTCTTGGTCCTGAAGTTTCAAAAGGGCACCATCTCATCAGTGTATGCAACAAAATATCAGGTAAACCTCAATTTTTTTTCTCCAAGCTTCACTTATACATTCATTTCACATTCTGAGCTCCTTCTTCATGAATACCTTCCTGTCCCTTTCCCTTCTTCAAGTGGATGAAGGATGTTTATTGTATTTAAATGACAATAGGGGAAAAAAAAATGCTTGCATTGCTTTGAATAAATAAAGACCGCTTGACATCTGATGTTTCCTTTTTCAGATATTTAGAAATGATAAATTGAGCAGGTCAGCTGAATGCACAAGTCTGAATGGGGGTAAGATGAGTTTTTTCCTTGATTCATAAAAACAAGGGGGTAGAGATAAAGCTCATTTGCATATGCAAGCGTTACATACAATCAAATGAAAGAATTTATACAAAGATGATTAAGAGATGAGCCATTACCAAGTCAGTGATCAATAAAGCACATTGCTAAAAAAATAACTAGTTTTTTCATCCCTCCTAAAGAATTTAAACCGTTTTGGAAGATTATTTAAATTTGATGTCTCTAAATGGAGAATTTCAGAAATGCCCATGAATATTTTAATAATCATTCTCCATTTTTGGCCAAATATACTTAATTTATTGTTATAGACCTAATAAACAATTCTACCAACAATCTTTTAGTCTTCTATATTTGTTTACATAATATGCTCTTGGATAAGATTTACAGCAATTTTCACACCCCACATGAATCTCCAACCATATTCTCTTTACTTCTCACAGTTACAGTACAGGACTGCTGGTCTTAACTTTCTTTTGGATGATGTGGTAGATGATAGAAATGGAGATATCGTTTATTTGTGACATCAGGTTGTAACAACAATACAAGATACCTACATCTCCATGTCAGCTCTGGTATAAGTATATAATAAAATTTTGGTTTGGTTGGGAGGAGAGCGAGAAAAAATTATACTTGGCCTCAGAAATATTTGTAACATCAGGTTGTAACATCAATACAAGATACCTACATCTCCATGTTCAGATAGAATGACCCAGCTATGGAATGATTTGAAATGAGTAATGATGATAACCCTAGGACACAATGCCCATCAACCATTAAAATCAAGAGGGGGTAGGGGTAAGGGGCAACAAGCCAAAAATATTCTAAAAACTAATTATTACCTCTTCCAAACTTCTTGCTTTCTGGATCCATGGGTCAATGTTTAATGAGAAGGCGAACCACCAACTGCATGTTATTTATCACAAGAGAAAAATGCTTCATAACTATCAAATGCCTTTAATAAAGCATTTCAGCATATAAACAAAGAATGCATCAAGTAGCTACTTGTCAATTTATACTGTAATCCAAGTATATACAGAACAAGATATTTGAATAACAAAAGTTTTGCTGAAGATGGACTAAACAAATGATCACACCAAGGGTCACGTATAGCATGACTCGTATAAAAAATTCATGCTACAGGCAACATCTGAACAAACAAGCAGGCATTCAATGCTTATTTCCTTCATTTTATAGCACATTAGAGTTACACATCAATTCACTATCTTTTCTACTTTGAAGGGGTCAATGGATATTCTATAATCAACAGAAAAGGTAAACATTGGGGGGATCTATTTAAACCTCCAGGAAACGAGGGAATCTATAATGACCATCCTTCCAAACACCATACAAAACATTAGGAAATATTTGAACATGCAACAAGGAGACTTGGCAGCTTAAAAATCACATATGATTCATAGGACGAAAATTTCAATAAACATCCCCTTATATTAGGGAACCCATCCAACTAGTGATACCTTTGTCAGAGTTATGATACAACCTCAACAACTACCCATCAGAAACAAGCTCCCAGAGCTTTTCGAAAATGATGAGCTACTTTATTAGACAATTTTTTGGTTATACTGCTCATGTGTAGCATAAATAAATTGCCGGCCAAACTGGACTATACAAACACCCCTAGTCACCACTCAACAAACCCACAAAAAGAAAGGAAAAAAAGAGCTGATGCGCTATGCAAGGCAATGTTCTCCCTCCATTTTAATAAAAACACTACCCTCTATCCCAGTATACCACACCAGATCATATTCAGCTCTACAAACCTCTCCTACATATACGATTATCGAACGACCAATCTTTTCCCCTTCCTTTCAAGAATATCTAAAGATTTCGAAACTGGTGACCACTACCAAGCTCGACGAGTGGCACACAGAAGGCACACGTAAATCAACACCTCATCAATCAATCAATGCACCTATGGGACAACTACTGTTACGGATACTCCACGTGCTACTACCAACTCCGCTCTGGTAACATAAAAAATTACAAATAGCCACATTAATTACCCTATAAACCAGAATTTTCACCCGGTCAAGTCTCACCGCCGCTATTACTACGCTAAGTCGATGGATTTTCTCTACATTCGCTGACCTAATCGCATTACAGCAAGAAGGAATGGAAGAGTTGTAATTTGAAACAAAATCAAAAAACCCTGCTGTTGGCAAGCTAAGCAATCAAAAAGCTAGAACTTCTGCTTGAACAGACCTTTGGCATGGATCCAGAATTCGTTTTTATCTGTGCTCTTCGAGATCACAAGGGCAAAACCGTAATTTTACAATAACCTGTCTGCTTCTCCTTCTCGTCTTCCCCACAACGGCTCCTTTTCAGTTCGGTAACAAGCAGCTTCAAAAACCGTAACTCTTTGGCTGTGAGATTGGGAATCGCAAGTAGCGAATTGCGGTAATTGGAGAGAGAGACGGAGAGAGAGAGAGGATAGAGTGAATTTGATGGATCAGAGAAGATTCGCGATGGAGATAGAGAGAGAGTGAGACAATATACTTATAGCTGGAGAAATTGGGTACTTTTTAGGGTTTGCATTGAAAGGGAAGGGGATTTATTCCCGAATAGATTTGGGAGTCTTAGAAAGGTTGGGTAGGCCCATATTAGTCCCCAGAAGACACCCTTTTTATCCGTTAGGTCCCTATTATGTATTTTTAACAAATCAAATCCCCTATCCGCCCTTCTGTTTGCATTAATGCCCAATCATATTGTCAATTAGGTCATAATTGTTGCACTCTGCTCAGCCCAGAAAGTTAACCCAGGATCCCATGTTTGAAATTTAATTATATTAAAAAATAAAATAATTAACCTCGAATAAAACTCTTTCTGGTTAAAGTTTAATTTCGGAAAAGAAAAAAATAAATTGTAAAAAAAGTGTTGCCAGCTCATAAAGACAACACATGTAAGAGTATGAATAATCAAGGAATGTGTTGATGATTAACGGATGCGTTGAGGACGGCTAGACGTACAGATTGGGGACTTAATTCAGAAGGAGGCTGTGGAATGGGGACTGATTTGAAGTTATCCCAAAAGACTTTCAAGCTTTGGGTGGTCTTTCTGCTGTCGCTTTTGCACTTATTTTGGTTATTTTTGAGCCGTCAGGTTTTCTCATTTTGATTTTGCAAAGCGGATCTCTCCCTTTTCTATCTCTGTAGCTAAACTCGTAAGAGTGAAAAAAGCGATCCGGTTTCTTAAAGTTGCATAATGCTAAGGTAATCCTTTGTTTCTTGAATTGATTGCAGAAAGACCCTTTTATTTTGAATATTGCCGTTCACCAGTTGCCTGGCGTCCATCAATTTCGTCCTCAATGTATACTAAATATTTTCAATTAGATCCACTTTCATGTAGCTAGATCGCAAAAGTACATAGATAAACAACTAAATTTCAATCCATAACAGGTTTGAGTGTTATTAATGCTCAGCAGCAAGCAGGCATCTCGATTGGGGTATTTTACTGTGGAAACTAGAAGGCTTGAATTTCGAAACAATCTTATGCAATTAGCCCTGGGGTAACTTCTTAGGCCTCAGCTGCAAAGAGAGAATACAAGATATCAGAGCATGTCCTGACAGCACAACGAAATCAAAACAAGAAAATAATGGAAAATCAAGCAAACAAGATTAATCATAACCTCATTGCTATGGCCACACTTCTTCTTCCTGCAGTTCTTAGCTCGGGGAGGCAGACGAGAATAACATCTAGCAAGCCAAAACAGTAAGCGAAAAAACAATCAGTACTGGTTTGCTAGATCACAAGTCTGTCCATGTGTTGCTTTCTTGATCCTTAATTAATCCCAAGAGTTTAGTTTAAATAAGCTGTTAATGTGATCTTAAAAGGGATGATTATACTCTTGGAATGCATCTCAGCCGGCTTTGAAATAAAATCTACATGACCATCCATGATATTAACTTTCTAAATCAAGAATTTGTCCATGTCAATGTATGCTCCACTAGCTAAGAGTTCATTAATCAGTTCTAGGATATTAAACATCGAGGATAAGAAAAAAGGTGTACCTGCGGCAAATCAGCTTGTATTGATTGAATTTACGAGCTAGTTCCCTCAGGGAGGGCTCAATTTTCATGCTAGGAGCTCCTTTTCCTCCCCTAAGCCTTAAGACTAGATGAAGTGTGGATTCTAAACAACAACACCAACCACGATAAATCAATAAAACCTTTCACAAAATCTGTCACTGAAAAAAACCAGAAGCCCTTCGCATTTTTCTGACGAACATGAGAAACAAACCTTTCTGGATATCGTAACTAGCTAAGGTACGGCTATCTTCAAGTTGCTTTCCAGCAAAAATCAACCTCTGTTGTTCCGGCGGAATTCCTATTCAACATTAATCACCATGTAAATTTAGACCATCTACACACACACAGTTTTCTCTGGCAAGCTTAATTAAAAAGAACAACAAAAGCATATGATATGATATGAAAAGGGATGAAGAACAAAAAAGGGTTACCTTCCTTGTCTTGGATTTTGGCCTTGACATTGTCAACTGTGTAACTACTCTCAACCTCGAGAGTAATAGTCTTCCCAGTTAGGGTTTTCACAAATATCTGCATCTTTCCTTTCTCTCCTTGGCCTACTTCTCCAACTGTTTACTGCTATATAATATGTGTATGCAGGTATATATATAGTCTTGGTAATTTGCTAGTTACTTGCGAATCAAGTTAGCGTTTTTGCTAATTACTTGCGAACCAAGTTTAGGATGTGGCCAGTAACTTGCGAACCAAGTAACTGGTAGTTCCTGCTTATAACTAGGCAATTATTTTATGAGCTATAACAAATTAATGACACAATTATACGACCCGCACCGAATTGATGCTTCCGACTAGTACTGTATGGATTTTGCTGGGTTAATAAGATCATCAGTGTCTGCCTTACAATACTCAAGTCATTTATTTTGATAATTTATAACGTCGAATTATTTGTCTTGGAAATTTTTTTTATTATACCTGATCCAGGGTTTGAGTTGCAGGTTTTCATTCCTAATTTATTTGGTAATCTGAATCTGTTCCAAATGATATTATTTATTAAAAAAATAAAATGAAACGTTGGTCTTTGAAACATCGAAGAAAAATGATATTATAATTTTAAAGAAAAATTGAAAAAAAAATATTGAAGTTGACCTGACATTATCTCATCTAAGTTTGATAGAGTCAAATCAATCATCGTTTTACCCATCAAGTTATCTGGACTTGACTAAATTAACTCTTAACTGGATTCAAAAGCAAACTCAATCTGGATATTTCCTCGTGTACACATTAATTATTTTAATCATTTCTCCATTTTAGGGTAGTCCAAAGCTTAGTTCTGTAACCAGTTTCGTGTATAATTTCCTGCTTTGAGCTGGAGGAAGAACACGCTTGAGGATAAGGTACCTTCAAACTCTTGTGCATGATCATGACATAAAGAAGGCCAGGTGTTTCCTTCTCAATCAACTCCTTGGTAGCTTCAGGAGCCATCTCTTGGTATTGCATTCAAGTCAAGAATGAGATTCATAATTCTATATTATAACTCCATTTCTGCAGAGCAGACTTGAGTTTGCTCACATCATCTGAGACAACAGCTGCCAAAACTACTCTTGCTCCTTCTAGTTTTTCTGATGAGGAATTTCAGACTGACAATGCCCTTGGCCGCCACAAATTTCCAAACATTTTTTAGCGTATTTTCTTTCAGAGCTTGGATATAATCAGGAACATGGAAATAGAAATTAATTGTGCAGTCACACGGAAACAAGACAGAATGCCATGAACTGTGGTTTGACATACACGTATATTACCTCGAAATATTGGATTTTAAATAAAGTAACGAAACTACCAGAGGCAGCTCGAATAGAGGTTCATTCACAGAAAATCAGGTTTATCAAACAATGCAAATCATCATAATTTAGTAGTATGTTTTGAGGTAGCAAGGAAACTAACAATAGTACTCAGTCTATCAAGAAAGTATGAAAGCTTCTGTGCGGGTGTTGCTAGAATATTGTTAGGGAAAAAAAAAAGCAACAACTGATCAGGCCCAGCCCCTGATACAACGGTATCACTCACTGGTAGAACAGCTACTCTGTACATTTTACCGTGCATATTAAGAGAATATTTATTATTGTGAAAATTTATGTTTTTTTGTTTTTTTAGTCATGTAAAATCAAGTATAGAAAATATTGTAACTATAAGAGATATAGTTTAATTAGTTAGATTCTAGATTTAATTTTAAGAAGTCATCGGTTTAAGTTCTATAAATCTTAGAATTACTAGAAACTTATATGATTATTAACTTTAAGATCCGTGGAATTAGTCAAAATATACACAAATTGATTTGAATATTCATGTTAATAAAAAAAATAGCAAAAATATTGTGTATCCATCTTCATGTAGAATTTGAAATAACATATTTTTTATTTATAAAAATATATTTTTCATTTATTTAGTATATAAAAATTTATCTAGCAATAATTTTAATTATGTATATTTTTTTAAAATCTATTTTTTTAAACTGCAACAAAGGTTTTTTTCTTATAAAAAATATAACCAAAAAAGGATTTCTTTCGGTCAAATCAACACATTGATCATATAAAAAATAATGAGATAACACCGTTTGAAAAAGATTTAATGAAATAATATATTTTTACTTTGTTATGCTTCAAAAGCACGATATTTACTAAATGTTACACTTATGAAGTGCTACAAAGTGAAAGTTCAATCATCTTATTTGGTTTATGGTGATTTACAAATATCTGTTCTAAATATATTACACGAATGACTTAACAAATTCATTTTTTGACCAATAAAATAGGCCTACGCTTAAAAGGAAGTCTGATTGTGTCAAACTAGAATAATAAATAAAAAAAGTTATTATTTTTTATTCAACGAATCATGCTCAAATTTTTATAAGAATTTCTGGAGATCTTTTTTATTATAGTAGTTATTGTATTGCTATACGGACTGTCAAATCTTTAAATATAAAAAATCTCATCAAGGCCTCTTGGTTTTAATAATTTTAAAATTTTCTTTGTTATTTTTAGATTCAACTATTTTTACTGACCATTATGACTAGTCGATGAGTTAAGTAAGATGATAGTAAGCTTTCACCTTATTAAAAAATGCAATATTTATTAATTATTATTATTTTTTAGCATGAAAAGATAGTTATCATGCTTAAAAATAATAACATTTACTAGATATGATATTTTTAAAATACAATAATTAACATACATAATATTTTACCAGATATTTTTCAAAATAATGTTATTTCAATGCCAAAAAAAAAAAATACTACCTAAATATGATTTAAAGAACTCAATGATTCGAGTGCCAATTAAATTTAATGTAAAAAATTAAGAAATTACTGTAATTAGATTTGATCCATTTTATTAAAATTTTGATGTTAAAAAATAAAATAAATTTACTTTAATAATCTAAAATTGATATGTAGTTTCTTCACCTAATCTGACCCAAGTAAAAAATAACAACTTTACAATGATATATTTTATAACACCATCAATAATCATCGTTTAGAAATCCCACTAACATAATTTATTTTAAAAAAATTAAAAAAATATTATTTTAATATATTTTTAAATTAACAACATTTTAAAAAACAATCTTGAACGAACGCATGCGAAACGGTACCCTTTAACAAAAAACAAACATTTCCACTTTCTTACCACCAACCTCCAAACTTCTCAACCCATCCAATAAACAATCACCACGTCATCAAAACCCACCCCTCCCTCAAGCCCACCACGGTCATTTCCTCCATTAATATTATCCCCTGAGCTAGGCTCCACGCCATTCTCCCACCTTGTAAAATCCCCATTCAGTCTCTGCAATCACAACCAAAAAACCCTAATTCCATGAATCATAGTCTCTCAAGATGACCGAACCGAACCCACTAGTCTCGCCAACCTCCTCCCGGTCCGTAACCGAAACGGTAAACGGCTCGCACAAGTTCGTAATCCAAGGGTACTCGCTAGCGAAAGGAATGGGAGTAGGCAAGCACATAGCGAGCGATAATTTTACGGTGGGAGGGTATCAATGGGCGATTTACTTTTACCCAGATGGTAAAAATCCGGAGGATAGTTCAGCTCATGTTTCGGTTTTTATCGCGTTGGCTAGCGAAGGGACGGATGTTAGGGCTTTGTTTGAATTGACGCTTGTTGATCAAAGTGGGAAAGGGAAACATAAAGTTCATAGTCATTTTGATCGGTCGCTTGAGAGTGGGCCTTATACGCTCAAGTATCGTGGCAGCATGTGGTAATACATTTGGTTCCTTTTCTAGTTTTTTTCTATGTGGGTTTTTTTTTTGGTGTCTGCGTGTTTGATTTGTTCGTTAGTTGTAATTGGGTTGTGTGAGGGTAAATTTCTGTTGATTGTTGTGTTGGCGTGTGGAGGTTTGATTTTGTGCTGGAAAGAGTGATTCTTTTTGTTAATGTAGATGATGGGGTTTTTTCTGGGTATGTGTTTGACTGGTTTTTGTGAGGGCTGGATTCTATTAGATGGGTTATTGTTTTTAGTGTGATTAGCTTATGTGTGACGATGGTTGAGAGGCATTGTTGTGTGCAAGTTGTTCTTGATGCTAAAAATTGGTTGTTTGTTGGATTGTGTTATTTGGTTAAAATGGTGTGTCGTTTTGTTACGTGTTTGATAGGATGGTTCTAGAGCTAGTTTGATGAAAAATTTCTGTATAGAAATGCTGAATTGATATATTAGGTGTCGTTGATGTTGAATTGCTTTGGTACTTGATTGGGCTATTTAATTAGGAAGAGAAGAGAAATAAGATATCGCTCTGATGTCTTTAGCTTGTATTTTTTCTGTACACGTGTGGAAATCTTGAAGTATTTTGTTAAGGTGATATTACGGGGTGCATATTGACTGCAATTTGGTCTAACTGGTGTTTGTATTAGTTATCCATGGTTAAAGTTTTGCTATTGGTGAATTGGACATCATATGACGTGTACAATTTCTTTTTTGGTGGAGTGGATTTTTGTCTTGTAGGATAGAGCTACAGGGGTAATTACTACAAGTTTGCTGTTTTATTCTAGAGCTTGATGGTGTTATTTGAATTGAATAAACCTACCTTTAATGAGCTCTTTATTCAGTTTAGTTCTGATTCTATTGAATTGGAAGAGATTATGTTTGCAATGCAGAATCTGTTCTTCCCTCCATTCATCTTTAAGGTATACTTAATCACTGAGATTTTGTCTATACTTCTTCAAATCCTAGAGGCCGTATCAGCTATGGACTCATGTTAAAATTGAAATGACCCCCACTACTGCTGTAACAACAGTGCGATTAGTTTGCCTTTTATAGAAACCACCCTTGAGTATGGAAAGTACAGACCAGATAATGAAGAATGTTAAATGCTGCTCAAGGCTTCTGAAGTTTTAGGGTGTTGTAGACTTTACTGGATCTGTGTTAATATTTTCCATGCAAAAGATTCATGAACTTGTACAATTCAAAATGGAAGCAGTTTTCAGTTGCTGGAGGTTTGGCATTGATGGTTTGGTAAAGAAGGGCTCCTTAAACTTTAAACTTGGGATGTTATTCCACTATGTGTATGTAAAATTTGTACTGTGCATCTTAATATAAGT